GGTCTTTGATCCATGTTGAGTGGATTTTTGTGTAAGGTGTGAGGTAAGGGTCTTGTTTCACACTTCTGCATGTGAAGATACGGTTTTCCCAGCACCATTAGTTGAAGAGACTGTCTTGGCTCCAGGAGTTGTTTTGTTCCTTTTTCAAAGATAAGTTGGTTATAGATGTGTGGATTGATTTCTGGGGTTTCTATTCTGCTCCATTGGCCTACACATCTGGTTTTGTGCTGGTACCAGGCTATTTTAATTATAACTGACCCATAGTATGTCTTGAGGTCTGGTATTATGATGTTGTATAATATTGTTTTAGCAATTCTGGTAGAATTCAGCAGTGAAGCCATTGGGACCTGGGTTTTTCTTTGTTGGGAGTGTCTTTTTTTAAGATTTATTTATTTATTTGAAAATCAGAGTTACACACAGAGAGGAGAGGCAGAGAGAGAGAGAGAAAGAGAGAGAGAAAGAAAGGTCTTCCATTCACTGGTTCACTCCCCAGTTGGCCGCAATGGCCCGAGCTGTCCCCATCTGAAGCCAGGAGGCAGGAGCTTCTTCTGGGTCTCCCATGAAGGTGCAGGGGCCCAAGGACTTGGTCCCTCTTCTACTGCTTTCCCAGGCACACTAGCAGGGAGCTGGATTGGAAGTGGAGCAGCCGGGACATATAGCGCCCATATGGGATGCCGGCACTGCAGGCAATGGCTTTACCCGCTATGCCACAGTGCCAGACCCTGTTGGGAGGGTCTTTTTTTTTTCTTTGTGGGCCTTACTGCAATGGTTTATTTATTTTTAACTTTTATTTAATGAATATAAATTTCCAAAGTACGGCTTATGGATTACAATGCCTTCCCCCCCAATACCGTCCCTCAGGAGGGTCTTTATTACTGATTTATCTCTGTTTTATTCTGTTTAGGTTTTCAATGACTGACTTTTGATAGATTTTACGTGTCCAAGAATCTATCCATTTGTTCTAGATTTTCCAAATTGTTGTCATAGAGCAATTTGTAATAATTCCTGATGATTCTTTTTATTTCTGTTTCTTTTTGTTTATTTATTATTCCTTATTCTATTTATTATTTTTTTTATTTCCTGATTCAACTCTGACTTTATTGGTTTGGGCCTTCTCCCTTTTTTTTGTTTAGTTGGGCCATTGGTATATCAATTTTTTCCCCAAAGAAACCTTTTATTTCAGGAATACAAATTTCATAAGTATAACTTTAGGAATTTTTCTTTTGCTTGGTCAATAAGTTTATTGTCTTTATCAGAAAAATCTTCATAGAAAGTTGTTTGGTTTAGCTCTCAGCAGCCCTCTTCTGAGCTCTGAGTAAGCTTGCTTTCTTTTGAGCTACCCCATCTTTCTTCTGGGCAAGGGACATTTTGGGAAGGTTCCACCTGAAAAATGAAGTAGAAGTAAGAAAAAGTTAGGAATATATATTTTAAATCTATGGCTAAAAAGGACACAGTATTTAATTTCAACTGAAAATGACATTATTAGATGAAAGCTGAATAATCCAAGTTCTAATATTTATTCTTGTTTATGATCTTTAACTTTCTAAACCCCAGCTTCTGTTGGCCTATTATCTGATGGCCTATTATCACATGGCCAATAAATAAGACTTGTTAGTATAGTGCTAAGATGTTTGTTAAGTATCATATTTTATTCCATCCAAAAACCAAAACAGGAATGATCTTTAGGTAGCCAATAAAAATGCAGTAGCTGGTACTTGCACTGTACTGGGCTAGAATGGGCCACCTCAGCAGCTTCTGAGGCTAAAACATTTCTATCACCACAATTATTTTAGCAAACCTGGTTCCCTTTGCTTCTGCCTCATCACACAGAGCCAGTGATCGAGTTTGCATAGTATAAATTTAGGAATAAAGTAATTCTTCCCACCATACCTGCTTTCCCACCCACACTCCCACCCCTCCTCCTCTTCCCTCTCCCATTCCCGGTCCCATTCTCCATTAAGATTCATTTTCTGAATAAGATCGAAGTTGGCGAATTCAAAAGGCTTCCATAGCCTTGGCAACTCATGACTAGAGCCTAGGGAGATTACTGACACCATAAACAAGAGTGTCAAATTGTTAAGTCAACAACAGGAGTCACTGTGTACTTACTCCTCATGTGGGATCTGTCCTAAATGTGTTGTCCAATGTGAAGTAATGCTATAACTAGTACTGAAACAGTATTTTACACTTTATGTTTCTGTGTGGGTGCAAACTGATGAACTCTTTGCTTGATATATACTAAATCAATCTTCTGTATATAAAGATAATTGAAAATGAATCTTGATGTGAATGGGATGGGAGAGGGAGCGGGAGATGGGAGGGGTGCGAGTGAGAGGGAAGCTATGGAGGGAGAAAGCCTTTGTAATCCATAAAATGTACTTTGGAAATTTATATTTACTAAATAAAAGTTAAAAAAATAAAAAAAGAAAAAAACACCAAAAAAAGATTCATTTTCAATTAATTTTGTACACAGAAGACCAACTCTACACTTAGTAAAGATTTCAACAATTTGCACACACACACACACACTAACACAAAGGAAAAAACTGTTTGAGAACAAGTTTTATAGTTAACTCTCATAATACAACTCATGGAGGACAGAGGTCTTGCATGGGAAGTAAGTGCACAGTGACTCCTGATGTTAATTTAACAATGAATACTCTTTTTTTTTTTTTTTTTTTTTTTTTTGACAGGCAGAGTGGACAGTGAGAGAGAGAGAGAGACAGAGGGAAAGGTCTTCCTTTGCCGTTGGTTCACCCTCCAATGGCCGGCGCGGCCGGCGCGCTGCGGCCGGCGCACCGCGCTGATCCGATGGCAGGAGCCAGGAGCCAGGTGCTTTTCCTGGTCTCCCATGGGGTGCAGGGCCCAAGCACCTGGGCCATCCTCCACTGCACTCCCTGGCCACAGCAGAGGGCTGGCCTGGAAGAGGGGCAACCGGGACAGAATCCGGCGCCCCGACCGGGACTAGAACCCGGTGTGCCGGCGCCGCTAGGCGGAGGATTAGCCTAGTGAGCCGCGGCGCCGGCCCCTGATGTTAATTTAACAATGAATACTCTTATGTATGATGTCAGTGACCACCTGAGGCTCTTGACATGAGCTGCCTAGGCTATGGAAGCCTTTTGAATCCACAAACTCCATCAGTATTTAGACAGGGCCATAAGCAAAGTGGAAGTTCTCTCCTCCCTTTAAAGAAAAGTACCTCCTTCTTTGATAGCACCTTTTTTCCACTGGGGTCTCACTCACAGAGATCCATCATGTAGAACATTTTTAGTCACAGTGTCTTGGCTTTCCATGTCTGAAATGCTCTCATGGGCTTTTCAGCCAGACCAAGATATCTTAAGGGCTGATTCTGAGGTCAGAGTGTTACTTTAAGAGATTTTCATTCTATGAGTCTACTGTGTGGACTACTTCTGATGTGGAACATTCTCTCCTTTATAATTCTATTATTATTACCAGACACTTGATCTTATTTATATGATCACTTAACACTTAATCCTATCTATATGTTCACTTTAACACTTAATATGATCACTTTAACAAATAAGATGGCATTTGTACCATGCAGCTTAATGGGATTTGGGATCCCATGACAAGTTTTTAAACTGTGCCATTAGAAGTAAGTCCTCAGGAATGCATGCAGAGCTATACAGCTTTACAGTTACACTTCCTCCTCCCTCTCTTATTACCACTCTTATTTTTTATTGAGATCTACTTTCAATTGACTTTATATACATATGATTAACTCTATGCTAAGTAAAGAGTTCAACAAATAGTATGAACAACAACAACAACAACAACAATCCAGAAAACTGTCTTCGAAAGTCAAGACAAGGGCAGCTCAAGTCATTGCTTCCTGAAGTGTCAGTTTCTCTTCTACAGATTTCCTTTTAGGTGCTTTATTAGTTATCACATATCTTGGAGAACACATGGTATTTGTCCCTTTGGGACTGGCTTATTTTACTAAGTATGATGTTTTCCAGATTAATCCATTTTGTTGCAAATGAACAGATTTCATTTTTTTACGGTACTGCTGTGTAGTATTCCATAGTGTACATATCCCATAATTTCTTTATCCAGTCTTTGTTTGATGGGCATTTATGTTGATTCCATGTCTCAGTTATTGTGAATTGAGCTGCAATAACATGGGGGTAAAGATAACTCTTTTATTTACTGATTTCATTTCCCTTGAGTAAATTCTCAAGAGTGGGATGTTTGGGTCAGATGGAAGGTCTATATTCAGATTTTTGAGGAATCTCCATACTGTCTTCCATAGTGGCTTTACCAGTTTATATCCTCACCAGCAGTGGTAAAGGGCACTTGGCACCTTTTCCCCTACGTCCTGCTAGCATATGTTGTTTGTTGATTTCTGTATGTAAACTACTCTAACTGGGGTAAGGTGAAACCTCATTGTGGTTTTAATTTCATTCCCTGACAGCAAATGATCCTGAGCATTTTTTCATGTGTCTGTTGGCCATTTGGATCTCCTCTTTTGAAAAATGTCTGCTTAAGTCCATTGCCCATTTCTTCACTGGGTTGTTTGTTTTGTTGTTGTGGAGTTTTTGATCTCTTTATATATTCTGGTTATTAATCCTTTATCAGTTATATAGTTTGCAAATAATTTCTCCCATTCTGTCAGTTGCTTCTTCACTTTCCTGACTATTTCTTTTGCAGTACAGAAGCTTCTCAATTTGATGTAATCCTATTTGTTAATTTTGGCTTTGATTGCCTGTGCCTCTGGGGTCTTTTCCAAGAAGTCTTTTCTTGTGCCAATGTCTTGCAGTAGTTTCCCAGTGTTCTATAATAATTTGATGGTGTTGGGTTGTAGGTTTAGATCTTCAACCCATGTTGACTGGATTTTTGTGTAAGGCGTAAGGTAGTGGTCTCGCTTCATACTTCTGCTGGTGGAAATCCAGATTTCCCAGCACCATTTGTTGAAGTGACTGTCCTTGCTCCAGGAATTAGTTTTAGCACCTTGGTCAAATATAAGTTTGTTGAAGGTGCTTGGATTGATTTCTGGCATTTCTATTCTGTTCAATTGGTCTATCCATCTGTTTCTGTACTAATGTCAGGTTGTTTTGTTTGTAACTTCCTTGTAGTATGTCTTTTTTTTTTTATCTTTTATTTAATGAATATAAATTTCCAAAGTACGACTCATGGGTTACAATGGCTTCCCCCCCATACCTTCCCTCCCACCCACAACCCTCCCCTTTCCCACTCCCTCTCCCCTTCCATTCACATCAAGATTCATTTTCGATTATCTTAATATACAGAAGATCAGCTTAGTATACCTTAAGTAAGGATTTCAACAGTTTGCTCCCACACAGAAACATAAAGTGAAAAATAATAGATGATTTTTTTTAAATGATGATGAAATCAGATCAGACCTATTGTCATGTTTAATCCCAGTGAGAGTCAAGTTGGGAATTGATAATTTCTTTTTCTTTTTCTTTTTTTTTTTTTACAGAAGATCAGTTTAGTGTACATTAAGTAAAGATTTCAACAGTTTGCACCCCCATAAAAACACAAAGTGAAATATACTGTTTGAGTACTCGTTATAGCATTAAGCCTCAGTGTACAGCACATTAAGGACAGAGATCCTACATGAGGAGTAAGTGCACAGTGACTCCTGTTGTTGACTTTACAAATTGACACTCCTGTTTATGGCATCAGTAATCTCCCTATGCACCAGTCATGAGTTTCCAAGGCTATGGAAGCCCCTTGAGTTCTCCGACTCTTATCTTGTTTAGACACGGTCATAGTCAAAGTGGAGGTTCTCTCCTCCCTTCAGAGAAAGGCACCTCCCTCTTTGAAGACCTGTTCTTTCCACTGGGATCTCACTCACAGAGATCTTTTTGCCAGAGTGTCTTGGCTTTCCATGCCTGAAATACTCTCATGGGCTTTTCAGCCAGATCCGAGTGCCTTTAGGGCTGATTCTGAGGCCAGAGTGCTATTTAGGACATCCGCCATTCTATGAGTCTGCTGAGTATCTCACTTCCCATGTTGGATCACTCTCCCCTTTATTTATTCTATCGGTTAGTGTTAGCAGATACTAGACTTGTTTATGTGCTCCCTTTGACTCTTAGTCCTTTCATTATGATCAATTGTGAACTGAAATTGATCACTTGGAATAGTGAGATGGCATTGGCACATGCCACCTTGATGGGATTGAATTGGAATCCCCTGGTATGTTTCCAACTCTACCAATTGGGGCAAGTCAGCCCGAGCATGCCCCAAATTATACATCTCTTCCCTCTCTTATTCCCACTCTTATGTTTAACAGGGATCACATTTCAGTTAATTTTGAAATCTGGTGTTGTGGTGCCTCTGGCTTTGTTTTTGTTGTATAAGATTGTTTTAGCTATTCAAGGTCTCCTGTTTATCCATATGAATTTCAGCATCATTCTTTCTATATGTGAGAAGAATGTCTGTGGTATTTTGATTGGTATCACATTGAATCTGTAAATTGATTTTGGAAGAATGGACATTTTCATGATATTGATTCTTCCAATCCATGAACATGGAAGATTTTTTCCATTTTTTGGTGTCATTTTCTATTTCCTTCTTTAATGTTTTGTAATTCTAATCATAGAGGTCTTTGACACCCTTGGTTAAATATGTTCCAGGGTATTTTATTTTTTGTAGCTATTTTGAAAGGGATTGATCTTAGAAGTTCATTCTCAGCCTTGCCATTGTCTGTGTATACAAAAGTTATTGATTTTTGTGTATTGATTTTATATCCTGCTATTTTACCAAACTCTTCTGTAAGTTCCAATAGTTTCTTGATGGAGTCTTTTGGATCCCTTATGTATAGAATCATGTCATCTTCAAATAGGAATAGTTTGACTACCTCC